TCTCTTCGTGTTATACTAAATCGCACACGGTGTATTCAATGATTCAAGACAAAAAAACTAAAAAATCTAGCCAATTCAAAGGCATGATGAATATGTCAGAGAGAGAAAATGACATGGCATAATGAAATAATATGCCATAATGATTCCACAGATGAATATTCTGCAGATGCTGAGTCGGATGCCGTACCTGCTACAGAATACAAACAGGTCCTGGGATGAATCAGTGACGTTTTATGTTCATTCATAATGCAGGCTTTTTTTTTACCCCCTTTCTCGTGTGTCCTTAATACCAAACATTTTCTCTGTTACCTGCCAAGGACTTTCACCTGAATGCATTCAAGCCCGCACAATGACATTTCAATTCATTCCAGTGTGTGAACAAAGCAGCACTCCTATGAAAGCAGTCTAGACAAAAACGCTGCTTTGTCTGGGCATGTGTGTGTGGGAGAATAGCCTTTTTCGCACCGGCAGCACACTTTTTTTTTTTGGCGAAACAGCACCGCAACCAGCCGCAGCAGCAGCAGCAGTAGCAGCAGCAGCAGCAGTAGCAGCAGTAGGCGAGGACAGAGGACAAAAGCGTAGCACCGCGGAGGAGGGAGAAAAATGAGGGAGGGATAAATTGGCTGGGAGGAGTGATGGAAGACTGAGGGGAGAGAGACGGGAGCGGATGGTGATGGATGGGCCAGAGGTGGGTGTGTATGTGTGTGTGTGTGTGTGTGTGTGAGAGGGGGCAGACGAAAAGCATTGGATGGTTGCAAGAGAGAGAGAGAGAAAAAAAAATCAGCTGTCTCTTTTGCTGCGCCTCCCCTTTTTTCTATTAACACGTTTCGCCGCTTGGTATCGTGCTGGTGGTTATTGTCTATACGTGCGAAAGTGCTAGTTTACGATCGCCTCTGCCCCGCACAATTAGAACTGGAGTCAACAGAAACAAAATGGCTTTCAGCAGAGATAAAGCTTCCCCGCAGCCGAAACGATGCTGCTGTCAAGTCTGCAGAGGAGGATGTATTGATCAAAGCAGAGGAGGCAAAATGATGATTCGTAATTATGGAAAACAAAACGTAATGGGAGCGATTTAAGTGGGTGTTTTGAAGTCTAGCGCGAGCCAGGGCGGTGATGCTAACCCGGAGGCTTAACAAGTAAATATTGAAATTGGATAAAAAATTCGAACTATCCTCTTTAACAGAGGAGGCGGCCATCTGCAAGGAGATTGGGGATTGACAGTGTGGAAGATATTATACTCAAAGCAATTACATAGAGAACCTTTAACCTGCCAAAACAGCTCTGATTTTTATAAACTGGGATGTGTTATTTGGACACTAAACATCCAGTTCATCATGGGCCCAATCAAGATTTGTTTTTTTAAGTCATCCAAGGCGACTGATGTTGTGATTTTGGGCAGAACAAAATGATTTGATTTGATTGAATAAAATTGTGTAAAGAACAAGATGGAGTTGTTTTTGGTAGTTGTGGATGAAGTTCTTTATCCTCTCTGATGGTAAAGCTGGCCATTTTTTCAATTCCTGGGTAGCCTTTCATGAACTGTACATTTGGAATATCCAAAGAGTGGCGAAATGATGATAGATTTTTAAGATTGATAATTGATTATTTAACACACAATGGCTTCACACCACAACAAAATATTAAAATTGTCATCCATAATCTCCAAAATATGGCCAAAACAATGACATCTATGGCTGGTTGTTTAAACTTTCAAAGAACACTGTATGTATATATGTCACGCATAAACAAGGAAGAACCCAAAAGCATCCATCCATCCATCTTCTTCCCCTTAATCCTGATACTGATCCTCCTGCAGTTGGTGAGTCCACAGGAGCCAAAAGCAGAACTTCAAAAATAATATTATTCAAAAAATGTCACAAAAAGTAAAAACTGACATGGGGAAAAAAACAACAATGAACCAACAACAAGAGGACAAGAGCACAGGGTCTAAATACACACAGGGAGACACAGGTCTAACACAACAGGGCAGGGCAAACAATCAACAGGATACAACGGGAAGTAAACAAGATGACAAATATATATCTAAAAAAAAATACAGGTAAAAACAAGTCCACACAATGACAATATAAGATAAACCTTCATTCGTCCCTCAGTGGGGAAATGTACTGTAGTTGCTCAAATTAAAGCAGATTAAAAGGAGAAATACTGGCACTTATATTATGCACACATCAAACAGTATCTATTTTTTAAAAGTACAAATGTATATATGTTGTCACTATCGCCCACCGCTGTTCTCAACATTAAAAGCGTGAAAACAGCTCATCAAGGCCGACATGAGCTCAAAGGCCTGAGAAAAGAAAACAAACCCCGCCCCCTGCCCCCTCTGCCCCTCGCCCCCGTCCCACTCTGTCCCACGGGACGCTATCAGGACATGCAGAGGTCAGGGGTCCGCCAGCGCCACGGTAACCACAATAAACACACACACATATTGAGTGTCAGCCCGGGTACCTGCCGCATCAGCACCTGCAGACGGCGCCATCAATTACACGCCGTTGAATTAACTTAAATGCGGAGTAATGGGAGGGACGCACATGTCACTGTGACCTTCACAAGTGTCGGTTGTTTTTATTGGACCAAATGCTTTTGTTTTTTAGACTAATAACTGAATAAAAGAATGGAGTGCATGCTACCACAGAGAGCGTCGTCAGTCTCTGAAATCTAGTGTCTAGTACCTCTTTGATATACATGTACAGTTTATATGTGTGTGTGTGTGTGTGTACTAGCTTGTTTATGTAGAATGAATACAATTGTTGCATCTATAAATCCGATTAGATCTTTTCAATAAGAGGCACCAGTCAATCCTGTGTCTGTAAAAGACTTTAGAGCAAGAGTAAAGTCTGTAAAATACTCAGGGATAATATAAAAGCAATTATTTGTTAATTAAGAGAAATTGAGATTGAATTCAGTTTTGAATTAGAACTGTTTGAAGGGTGAAAGTGGGGGATGGGGGGTTAGTCAGCAGGCAGTTTACTGTTACATTCATTTTGGTTTTTACAGATTTGCTTCAGATTTGTGTTACTACTATTTGTAACCAATACTGTGTTGTATTCTACATTATTTGTGTAGTATTACCTTGATGCGCATGTACTGTCAATAAACTGTTTAATAAATAGAAGGAAAGCAAGTCAATTTTGAAGACTTGCGTTGAGAATATAGACGGGCAAATATTTCTGTAAGTAAGTAACATTTATTTATATAGCACATTTAAAACGACCAAGGTCACCCAAAGCGCCTCACAATGCAAGAGTTCAGAGTTCAGCTAGTTCCATTCTCTCCACACACGGTGATGACGGAAGCGAGACCCAAAACAAACTGGAGCATCAAAGCCCCAACCAACACCATCCATCCATTCACTAACTCATTATATTCATACCTATTGTGCATGTTTTTAGTGGTAGGGGAAACCGTAGCACCTGGAAGAAACCTTCCAGGAGAAAATGGAAACTCCACTCAGAAAGGCGCTTGTGTGATTGAAATGATACCGTAGAAACCGGTGATTAAGGCTTAGAAAGTTCTTCTAATAGGACAAAACAGTTACAAAGTTAGCACTGCTTTAGTCTACCCAAAAAACATGTCAGGTTAAACATATAGCTTCTTCAAACTTAAGTATTGTCAGGAGAGGCCTTAAACATTTACAAAACATTTAAAAACGTGTGTTACATGTCAATTTTAGAACACATTTAGAACGTAGAGCTTCATTTGGTCTACTTTTATTGTTTTTAAAGTTGTTGTTTTTTATTGTTGACCTTTTGTAGGAAGATTTCCCAGAATTTTAGGAAAGAACCACCCTCTCAACTTTCTGTAAAAACTATCCAAGCACGCATCACCAGAATGATTGACAGTTAGGAGGACCAAAAGTCTTGATGGATGATCCACCCGGAAGTAAAAAATCCTCCTATATACCTTCAACCAGAATAGTCCATGGATCCATTATAAGGGATAGACCCACTGACATTTTTGAGTCTCTTTTCCTGGTCCCAGAGATTTGCAGCCACATCACCAGCTCACACTTACAATGAACATGCGCCGTTAGAAGGGTGTCATACATCCATAATTCATACTGTATCTGATGATGAATATTGCATCATGACCACTGTATCTCTGTTTTATGGGAATTGCCGACTGTCACAAATCACTTTTACTAGTGTGCCTAATGAAATGTTCATTACAAAATCTATGTCTGCTGTTTTCTCGTATCAACAACAGCGAGATGCGGCTAAACGGGTGAGTGCGTGCAGAAGCAGGCCTGATACAGTATCCACTTAAATAACACATCTCATTAAGTCTGCTGACTAATGAGGTGATTAGCCCCGGCTAGCAGTAACTAGCGCTAGCCTAGCGTAGCCTCTCCAAGGGTTTAAATGCAGTGGTTCAGATGGAATGGTTAATATGGCTGTTGGTGGCTTTTAATTGCCGAAAAAACCATTAGAAGTTATGTGCAGATATGTGGGGGACAAATGACTTTAATTAGCCCGTGTTAATGTGTTTGCTCGAAGAAATATTTACACATTACACGAGGAGGAACCAGCGGAGGAGAAGGAGAGCTAGCCCTGCCCTGGATTAGGGTTGGAGAGCTGGTGCATGTGATGATGATGTGTGTGTGTGAGCGTGTGCGTATTCGTCCGTGTGCGTGAGTGTGTGTGCTTCTGTGTGTGTGTATGTCTATGTGCATGTGTGTGTATGTCTGTGTGCATGTGATGGTGTGTGTGTGTGTGTACGTCTGTGTGCATGTGATGATGTGTGTGTGTACATCTGTGTGCAAGTTTGTGTGTAGGTGTGCATACATCTGTGTGCATATGATGTGTGTGCACGTCTGTGTGCATGAGTACGTCTGTGTGCATGTGTGCATGTACGTCTGTGTGCATGTGTGCATGTACGTCTGTGTGCATGTGTGTGTACGTGTGTGTGTGTGTGTGTGTGTGTGTGTGTGGCTCTTTGGGAAGGGCAGGGGGCCTCCACAGCAGTGAAGTGTGCCACAGCTATTTATAGGCCCAGTTGATTGCGGATTTATTCTCCAGGGAGGGCCGGGCTGGTGCGGGGCGGGTGTGGGGCGGGTGCACAGGGAGGAACAGCTGTCTGTCAGGAGGAATCTGCTGCTTAATTTCCTTTGGGGAAGAAGCCGAGATGACGGCTCGGGACACAGACACAGCACCAGCAGCACACCAGGTTGTTTGGCTCCCAGAGAATCAGACATGTTGAAGCATTTAAGGTTTTTGTTTGGCTAATTCAATCATGTAAATCCCTTTCAGTGTCAGGGTTGTATACGGGGAAAGAGGAGCATGTTGCCAATGGGAGGGGTTTCTGTTCTTGTAATTTATTGACCAATGGAAAAATGTTGCATCTTGGCATCATGGGTTGCTTGTGTTTTTCCGTGTTATTCAATTCCCACTGCAATTGCTTGAATCGGTTTTCATTTTAATTTGAGAACTCGGTCGTAAAACAAGATTTACCAACGGGTCAAAGCCATTTAGTCTTATTTCATGAACTGTTGCTTCATTTTCTCATTTTAAGGGAGACTTTTCTTGTATATTTCTAAAACAAGGTCATCTTACTTGTTCCATTGCAATTTGTTTTGGTTAAACACACTCAAAATGTTTAATTATTAAGAAATTTTGATATATATATATTTCATAATTTTTTGCAGTGTGTTCCTGAAATTCAAGTGTTGTACTTCAAAAGATATGTAAGAGGAAATCCAACTTCCGGGTGGATCATCAAGATTATTGGTCCTCCCAGTTGTCAATCATTCTGGTGATACGTGATCGTCAAATAAGACCAGAGAGTTTTGTTCAAAAAGTGGAGAGGGCGGTTCTTTCCTAAAATTTGGGAAGATCCTCCTATATACCTTTACTTATAGTGTATGCTGCATTTGAGTTGAAATGTTGTGAATAAAACCAGACCACAAAATGCTGTATGTATCTTTTCTTCTGTCAGAAAGAGTCGTCTTGATGCTTTGGGCTGAGTGGCTGAGTGAGGGTGGTCCTATTCTGTTCACGTTTGTGTCTGGAAAAGCTGATCTAAAGTGACAGAGGCCCTAACATGGGTGTGAAAACAAGTGATAAAACTGTGTTGAGAGCGAGGGACTTATGGACTAAACAACATTTTACTAAATTTTATATGGATTGAAATGTAGGTACCTCAACTTTAAGGATTACAGGTTGGTCACTTTACACTTTCACGGTAAGACAGCCCCTTTGGTCCATTTAAAAAACAAATACAAATCAGCAAAATACAAATTAAACGTCAATCAGACACATTTGAAGAGAATCTAAAATACAATAAGTTTATAGACAAATACATTGTAACATAACATCTGATGAAGACCATGGAGCGGCTCATCCTCACCCATCTCCGCTCCGTGGTCAGCCCCACCCTGGACCCGCTGCAGTTCGCCTACACACCCAACATCGGAGTTGAGGACGCCGTCATCTACTTCCTGCAGCGGACGCTCTCCCACCTGGAGCCCGCCGGGAGCGCTGTGAGGGTCATGTTTTTCGACTTCTCCAGCGCTTTCAACACCATCAGGCCGGCACTGCTGCAGGGGAAGATGGAGGACGCGGGAGTGGACAGTAGCCTCACTGCATGGACCATTGACTACCTCTCTGACCGACCACAGTACGTGCGGCTGCGCAGCTGTGAGTCTGAGGTGGTAGTCTGCAGCACTGGGGCCCCTCAGGGCACTGTCCTCTCACCGTTTCTCTTCACCATCTACACCTCAGACTTCACACACGACACACACAGCTGTCACCTGCAGAAGTTCTCAGACGACTCTGCCATCGTGGGCTGTGTTTCTGAGGGGAACAAACTGGAATATCGGTCGGTTATCAAGGACTTTGTCGACTGGTGTGAGTGCAACCACTTGTGCTTGAACACCAGTAAGACCAAGGAGATGGTACCTGTGCTAACACCAGTAAGACCAAGGAGATGGTACCTGTGCTAACACCAGTAAGACCAAGGAGATGATCATCGACTTCAGGAGAAAACCACTTTCCCACACGCTGCTGAACATCCAGGGGGAGGACATTGAGCTGGTGGACAGCTTCAAGTACCTGGGTGTTCACATTAACAATAAACTGGACTGGTCCCATAATACAAACGCCCTGCACAAGAAGGGCCAAAGTCGCCTCTTCTTTCTGAGGAGGCTGAGGTCCTTCGGAGTGAGCAGGCCTCTGCTCAGGACTTTTTATGACTCTGTGGTAGCTTCTGCCATTTACTACGCTGCCGTGTGCTGGGCCCCGGGCAGCACAGAGCAGGACAGAAACAGACTGAACAGCTCCACTCTGGGCTGCTCCCTGGACTCTGTGGAGGAGGTGAGGGACAGGAGGGTGCTAGCCAAAGCCACCTCCATCATGAACAATACCTCCCACCCACTGCACAGGACTGTAGACTAGCTGAGGAGCTCCTTCAGTGGAAGACTGAGACACCCTCAGTGTAGGAAGGAGCGCTACCGCAGGGCCTTTATCCCCACCGCTGTCAGACTGTACAATGAGTCACTTTAAATGATCACTGTGTGAAAACCTGCACTACTATTGACACTGTTTCCAATCGACACTTGTCACTTTGTTGTACATAATTATTGTCACTTTTATTGTACATATATCCTGCATGTAACATGTTTGCACATTTCCTCCTTTTGCACAATCTGAGTGTTCTATCCATGCTAAATGTGACATGTATCTGATAAATAAAATATGTTTACATTTAGGAATCAGGTTAAGTTTATTTTGCATTTCTAAGTTGATTTTGATTTGTTACAGTACAGGACTCATACTTTTGGTCGTATTCTCAGGATGAAGGCAGCAGGAAAAGTGGGACAAAAACCTTTGAGAGTTGAAAGTGAAACACAAACAAAAAAGTCTTCTTACCTTGCGTTGTCCTGGGCAGCGTCCTGCCTCGGATCCAAACCACCCAGCTCTCGTCACCTCCCATTCCCGTCTCCTGCCATTCCCTATCCACCCCGTCCCGGCACACATCCACATCCAACATTACAGTACTTGGCGGAGTTCAGACGAGGCCAGCAAGAGGGCGCCCTCAGCCTCTCCACTAAGGGCCGACCAGCACAAAGTACATGGACCAGTCCGCTTCTTCTTGCAGTACACTATTGGCAGAGCGGCAGGTGAACAGGCTCCTCTGCAGCCCCCCCATGGCTGAGGATGAATGCGCGACCGAAGCTGTGTCCCTCATGCCACCGTCACCGGGCCGTCCAGGAGGTCCAGGCACACGGGCGGAGAGCAGAGACCGTCCCGGTCTGGGCATGGTGAGCGAGCGGGGACAGGAAGGAGAACAGAAGCAGAAGCAGAGAGTGATGTGAGGTGAGGCAGGACACACCCACACGGAGCAGGAGTACCAGTAAGGCTACAACTAATTCATCCAAATTAAGCGGAGGATATTCACTTCGTCATACACTCACTCGCAGTTGTTTTGTGTGTGTGGTTGTGTTGTGTGTGTGTTGTGAAGTGAGTGTAAGGTGAGTGTCTGAATCTCCGTGATGATGTTTGTGTGTAGTGTGTTGTCAGTTAAATAAAAAAGCACCTAATTTATCCCCGTAGGGAAATTTGTCCACAGTGATTGTGTGTGTTTGAGTGTAGTGTGGATTGTGTCCACGAGTGTGGCGTGTGTGTGTGGTGGTCTTTTTCAATAATTTAAACTTTGTAGGTCATAATTTGGTGACTATGACAAGATAACACCAACAACTCGCGCACCACTCACGGAACTGAAGGTTGTGTGAAAGCAGTTTTTGTGGTCAAATAATTTTTATATTTTCAATTGAATAACAATTGAGCTGCTCTTTGGGTGAGCTCAAACAGTTTATTGCAAGGCGGCACAGGAATTCACACTACCTAAAGGATTTGTTGCCAAGAAGAAGTTGCAGCAGTACCATCAGAGTGAGGATAAAGAACCTCACAAGAACTCAATCTGTCATAAATGTTAACAGAGAAACACTCGTGATGAGAACATAGGGATGCAGAATTCTGGATCGGGGTCAAGAGTCGCCTCAGATTGTCACATATCATTTGAAAATAAAAACATAACTTTAGATAAACGGCTTCAAACAACACTAATGATCTCTCTCAATATAGCAGTCCATAAATTTCACTGCAAAATGGAAAAATGAACAGCAAAAGTTTTCATAACATGTTGGTTGGAAAGCGACTCCTCCTCGGCCGTTTCACCGATTCACCTCAAAATCGCTCCACATCATCTCAACACATGTACCTTCAAAATGACCTCAGGGATTTTTGATCAGTGAAACATTGTTTGAGCAGCGGAGCGGCAAAATGTGAAATTTTTTTGGCCGTTTTTGACAACATTAAATTTGCTCCCGTTTGCACAAACAAAGTCCTATTTGCACAAAACTTTAATACATTGTTCAACTCTAGGGTCTAGGTCGTTTGAAGGTGAATTAATTCAAATTGACACATTAGCGCCCCCTACAGACTATTTCAAAATTTTAGATGGGCATTTTCAAATTTAGTTTTTTCAAAATGTTTGAAATTTTACACATAAATCTGTTTTGCCCTCTTGATTCAAAAAGTCAATTGGGTCCAAGGCTTATTTTTTACCCTGTTGCCGTGGCGACGAGAAACGCTCCCCATTCATTGCAAATGTACACCTCACACAAACATCAAACCAGCCTCGGCCGTTTCACCGATTCGCCTCAAAATCGCTCCACATCATCTCAACACATGTACCATCAAAATGACTTCAGGGAATTTTGATCAGTGCAACGTTGTTTGAGCAGCGGAGCGGCAAAATGTGAGGATTTTTTTGGCTCTTTTTGACATTAATTTTGCTCCTGTTTGCACAAACAAAGTCTGATTTGCACAAAACTTTATTCCATTGTTCAATTCCAGGGTTTAGGTCAGGTTAAAGTGAAATATTGGAAATTGGCCCATTAGCGCCCCCTACAGACTGTGTCAAAGTTTACATGGGGAGCCAAACCAGCTCTACTTATCATATTCATTGCAATTTGACTAACATTCTTCTATGGCTACGGAAACAAATCATCACACGGCGGTGCCACCTCCTTTTAGCGGTGCTGCGGCGTAGTGCGGGGCGTTGTGGAGCGGCGCGTTGCGGCTTGGTGCGGGGCGGCGTGGTGCGGGACGGCGTGGTGCGGGACGGCATGGTGCAGGGCGGCTTGGTGCGGGGCGGCATGGTGCGGGGAGTGCGCGCGGTGCAGGGAGTCGCGCGGTGCGGCGAGGGCCGTTCGACGCCGCTTGCGGCTTTAATTTATTTCTTTCTTTCTTTTTTCTTCTGCACTTTGAGCCTTAATTTGACCCCCTGAACATGCATGAAAAGTTGTTAATTTTGGCCCAAAAATCAGACCTGGCGAAAAATTTGATATTTTGGTGTTTATTTTTATGGGACTCAAAAAATGACAGAACAGCGCCACCTACAACAGCCAAAATAATACCCCTATGGGACTTTTCGGAGGTCAAAATTGTCGTAGAAACATGAGATTTGGTACACATGTTTCTCAAGTCAAGACAAGAAAAAAATATTATTATGGCCCCGCCCTCTGACAAACAGGAAGCCCATAAATTTCACTGCAAAATGGAAAAATGAACAGCAAAAGTTTTCATACATGTCGGTTGGAAAGCGACTCTTCCTCGGCCGTTTCACCGATTCGCCTCAAAATCGCTCCACATCATCTCAACACATGTACCTTCAAAATGACCTCAGGGATTTTTGATCAGTGAAACATTGTTCGAGCAGCGGAGCGGCAAAATGTGACCTTTTTTTGGCCGTTTTTGACAACATTAAATTTGCTCCCGTTTGCACATACAAAGTCTGATTTGCACAAAACTTTAATACATTGTTCAACTCTAGGGTCTAGGTCATTTGAAAGTGAATTTATTCAAATTGACACATTAGCGCCCCCTACAGACTATTTCAAAGTTTTAGATGGGCATTTTCAAATTTAGTTTTTTCAAAATGTTTGAAATTTTGCACATACATCTGTTTTGCCCTCTTGATTCAAAAAGTCAATTGGGTCCAAGGCTTATTTTTAACCCAGTTGCCGTGGCGACAAGAAACGCTCCCCATTCATTGCAAATGTACACCTCACACAAACATCAAACCAGCCTCGGCCGTTTCACCGATTCGCCTCAAAATCGCTCCACATCATTTCAACATATGTTCCATCAAAATGACTTCAGGGAATTTTGATCAGTGAAACGTTGTTTGAGCAGCAGAGCGCCAAAAAGTGGTGTATTTTTTTTCAGTTTTTGACAATAGAATATTTTTTTCCGTTTGCACAAACAAAGTGTGATTGGCACAAAACTTGAATCCATGGTTCAACTCTTGAGTCTAGGTCAATTGAAAGTTCAAATTTTGAAATTGGCTCTATAGCGCCACCTACAACAGCCAATTTAAAAATGCCTATGGGAGGGGTTCAAGGTCAAAATTGCCGTAGAACCATGTAATTTGGTACACATGTTCCTCAAGTCAAGACATGGAAAAAATGTAATTATGGCTAAGCCCTCTGACAAACAGGAAGCTCATAAATTTCATTGCAAAATGGAAACATGAAAACCAATCATTTTCATACATGTCGCTTGGAAAGCGACTCCTCCTCGGCCGTTTCACCGATTGGCCTCAAAATTGCTCCAAATTATCTCAACACATGTACCTTCAAAATGACTTCAGGGAATTTTAATCAGTGAAACGTTGTTTGAGCAGCGGAGCGGCAAAAAATGACCTTTTTTTGGCAGTTTTTTTACAACATCAAATTTTCTGCCGTTTTCACATACAAAGTCTGATTTGCACAAAACTTTAATAAATCGTTCATCTCTAGGGTCTAGGCCATTTGAAAGTGAAATAAATTAACTTGGCTCATTAGCGCCACCTACAGATGGGGTCAAAGTTTTTAGTATGGGAGCGTTTTGAGGTCAAGTTTGATGTATAGGCATGAAATTTGGTACACATGTTCCTCTTCTAGAGACATGAAATAAAAGTTATTATGGCCCCGCCCCCTGACAAACAGGAAGCCCATAAATTTCACTTCAAAATGGACAAATGAAACATGACCTTTTCACACGTGTCGGTTGGAAAGCGGCGACTCCTCGGCCGTTTCACCGATACGCCTCAAAATCGCTCCACATCGTCTAAACACATGTACCGTCATTTTGATTTCACAGACTTTTGATCAGTAAAATGTTGTTTGAGCAACGGAGCGCCAAAAAGTGGCGTATTTTTTTTCAGTTTTTGACAATGAAAAATTGCTTCCGTGTGCACATACAAAGTCTGCTTTGCACAAAACTTGAATCCATGGATCAACTCTTGGGTCTAGGTCATTTGAAAGTAAAAAAATTGAAATTGGCTCTATAGCGCCACCTACAACAGCCAATTTAAAAATGCCTATGGGAGGGGTTCGAGGTCAAAATTGTCGTAGACCCATGTAATTTGGAACACATGTTCCTCAAGTCAAGACATGGAAAAAATTGTATTATGGCTAAGCCCTCTGACAAACAGGTAGCCCATAAATTTCATTGTAAAATGGAAAAATGAAAACCAATCATTTTCATACACGTCGGTTGGAAAGCGACTCCTCCTCGGCCGTTTCACCGATTGGCCTCAAAATTGTTCCAAATCATCTCAACACATGTACCTTCAAAATGACTTCAGGGAATTTTGATCAGTGAAACGTTGTTTGAGCAGCGAAGCGGCAAAATGTGAGGGTTTTTTTGGCCGTTTTTGACAAACATTCATTTTTTTCCCGTCTGCACAAAGAGAGTCTGATTTGCATTAAACTTGAATCCATTGTTCAACTCCAGGGTTTAGGTCAGGTGAAAGTGAAATATTTGAAATTGGCCCATTAGCGCCCCCTAAAGACTGAGTCAAAGTTTACATGGGGAGCCATACCAGCTCTGCTTATCATATTCCTTACAATTTGACTAACAATCTTCTATGGCTACGGAAACAAATCATCACACGGCGGCGCCACCTCCTTTGCGTAGTGCTGCGTGGTACGGTGTGGTGCGGCGTAGTGCGGGGCGTTGTGGAACGGCGTGTTGCGGCTTGGTGCGGGGCGGCTTGATGCGGGACGGCGTGGTGCAGGGAGGCGTGGTGCAGGGAGGCGTGGTGCGGGGTGGCTTGGCACGGGGTGGTGCGTGCGGTGCGGGGAGTCGCGCGGTCCGGCGAGGGCCGTTCGACGCCGCTTGCGGCTTTAATTTATTTCTTTCTTTCTTTTTTCTTCTGCACTTTGAGCCTTAATTTGACCCCCTGAACATGCATGAAAAGTTGTTAATTTT